AAAAAAAAAAAAAAAAAAAAAAAAATATATATATATATATATATAAAAAACTAAAATAACACATTGGTCGAAAAATAAATAAATAAAATGGAACGTTCGCTGTAACAGTTGCGCGCGTTTACGTCATAGACGATAAGCCGCAGGTTTTCATAACGGATGACTTTGTTTCTGCACTGTCTTCCCGCGCATATTCAAATTCAAATCCCGGCTGTCAGTGCGCGCGGGCAAGACGGCTTCCTTTTGTCTGCCTGCATCACTACGCGCCTTTTAAACGACTGAGGGGCGATTCTCCTTTTGTTTTCCTCACGAAACCACTGTAAATCGCACAAAAGCAAGTTTGAACGGTGAAATAAGATGTAAAAAAAAATTAATAAATAAAATTTACACACAGTCCTAACGCAGATAACTAGGAAAGCACCGTCTTTAGAAAACACAGGTGCTGTAAAGATGGCAGCTTGATGTTTAGAGTAGGCGTAATGCACATCAACAATGACAGGAGCAGCTTAAGCGACACGATAAAACAATATAGCACAAATTATAGTTAATACAATTGACGTTAAGACCGAAAATACACACACGTTCAATCTTATATCAAGCCAAATGATTAACTGCGAGCTCTTTTTCATGTGAATTTCCAACACAATCACTCATCTGCAGTGTTGAAATTATAATATCTTATTAAATTTGAAGGCTCATGTTTATATTAGCAATGGTTAACCGCAGGAGTTGAACAAGCATCGTAAAGCACTCAAGTTCCCTCCTTTTACATCATCTAGTGATCAGGCGGGTCTTACAGGATGTTACGGATTTGTTTTGATCGAATTATCGAAATATTAATGCACATTTACAGGTTACACTATTTGTCGATTTTATTTTCGGTTAAAAGACGTTTTTTTTTGCTCAGGTTTTCGTCACAGCGCGGTAAGATTGACAGACCGCCTGACAGTGAATATGTAAAAATCGACTGTCCGCCATTATAAAACAACCACACGATCACAGAGGCGATAACGGCAACAAAAAAAATATAAAAAAATACAAACACATATGTACAAAAAACAAAATTCGTGATTTTTTTCAGAAATATAAAAAATCGCAGTGCATCCTTACCTTTCTTTTGGGCATCTTGACTGCAGAAAAACCCCGAAAAAATGTCAAAAAATCTGAATATTTGTGTAAATATTGTGCTCCTGAGCAACGACACCCTGCACGCCTCACAGCGTCTCGCGTAAAATACAATAACGGCTGTATGTGTTTTTATTAAGTTTTTATATTGAAATTTAAGATAGAAACCGGTTTAAACCAGATTTTGCATATTCCGTGCAGCGATTGGCTGCGAGAGTGATCACGTATCGCTGGGCGTCGCTTATCTCTTAAAGCAACAATGACAGAATTCCCCGCTCAGGTTTCAGAGCTCAGACGGAAGCTGCTGCTGCTTGTCTTGGCGCCTCTGCTGGCCACAGTGGAATTACACCGGCAATTTAACACAAATAATTTAAAAAAACGATTACAGACAAAAACGTGGTAGACATCGGTTAAGACACACATACGAATTATTTACATAATTTCACAGGTGTGTGTGTACTGTATACACCTTTTTAAGAACAAGTAAAGTACATTTACGGAACAAAACTGAATAGAAAGTACACAATAGCGTCTCAAAATGTAAATATCTTGTATTAGCAACGCTTCAAAGTTTGAAAATACAACTTTCAACAGATCTCCATCGCTGCTCCCAAACACTATAATATGGAAATACCTTTTACTGTAACTTACCCTTTGATCACACTGCAAAAAAAGTGATGTTCTTCAGCAGTATTTGTCTTGTTTCTAGTGCAAATGTCTAAAGATTATTGTATTTACTTGAGAAGAAAAATGACGTGTTGTTTATAGATCAAATAAAGATCAAAACGAAGTGAGTTTGATTTTAAACATGAACAAATCTCTGCAAACAGGAAGACAAGTTTTCATTCTTCATTGACAGATATTTGTCTTTTTTCTAAGCATAAATTAACTTTTGTTCAATTTCTCAGAAAAGACTTCATCTTTATTTTGCTTCTCAAGTAAATTAATCTTAATTTAAGAATGTGTGGATATTTTTATAGGGGGAAAAAAAGCAAAAACACGGAGGAACATTTTATTTATTTTATTTTTTGCTGTACATTTAATGCCATGACTAGGAATGTAAGACTTTCTGCTCTGATTTAAGACCTTTTTAGGCCTTAATTTGTGAAAGGCTGAACTAATACCCTTTTAAGAGCCACATAAATGCTATACATATACACACACACACACACATATATATATATATATATATATATATATAATCCAACTTACAAAATACTTTACAGAAACAAATTTATTTATATTTGTCAAAACTAATTTCAAGCAGAGGCCTTTAGATAAAAAGGTTTTAAGATAATGAAAAAATAAATTCAGTCAAGTGTGTCCAAACTTTTGACTGTTACTGCAATTTACCTTTACAATATATGTAGTCAGTTAAAAAAATTCTAGACTGAATATGCAATTTTTTTTTTTACTCTGCCCTAAAAATTACTTGCTCACAGGCCAGTAATATTTGATTTGTGAATTGACTGTTTGTGAGGCTTCAATGAATTGGTCAAATCAGTCCACAAATCTGAGATTGATTGATTGATTTTTCATCCTGAAAAATAAAATGACTGAAATTCAAGTGAGATCAATCATATTTAACCTATTGTATTTCCTAGCATTTCTAGTCCCAAAAAAAAAAAAAAAGCCCATGGGGTCAATCAATCAAACTGAATTTATTTGAAGATTTAAGATAATTTCTATTTTAATATCAAGCATACATATCCACTGCCCCATAAAACGGGGTAAAACATCCTTCCAGATTTGAAGTATTTACAGATCAGTAAATAAAAAAAGTTCAAAGCTAAGCCACAACAGCCTGGCTGCTTAAATCACTGAAGAAAGTGTCTCTCTTGTGCTGAAGGGTGTTGAGAAAGCAGTGAACCCTCTCCTCTCGGCTGGCGGTGTAGTTCAACAGTTCTTTCTGTCGACTCTGGGCATCCATGGGCTCTCCATTCCCACGATGCTGCAGGAGCTCAGCCACACAGGAGCGATCCGCTTCCATCTGCTGGAGCGCTTGGTCTTCTCTGTGCAGATCTCGAGCTTTCTGCAACACACAAAATATGAATACAACGGCACTTGTGAACGGAATAAAGTTCATGTTTATGCTTTTGCATATTTACTAAACTTTAAATAAAGTTTGGAACTTCCTAAAAGTTGCTTTCAGGAAATCATTTAAGGAAACAATCGTAGTAACGTTTACAAAAACGTGCATTCATCAACAACGGTACATGCTGTAACACAATATCCTGTGTGTTCAAGCCGAAATGATCTGAATTAGCATGTTGCCTTTTTTATAATAAGGTCATGCTAATCTAAGAAGCATATATGACCATGAATGGTCCAAAACAATTTACAAAATCAATGGGTCTCATTCACAAATGCAATATTTTGTATATATATGAACGGAAGAGCTTCTCACAAAAAATGTCTGCATATGTTATTAACTTTGTTCTAATGTTAATACATTTTGCATATTCTAAATATAAATGCTTTTAAAATTGATAATAATAATAAAAAAATGTTTCTTGAGCAGCAAATCAGCATACTAGAATGATTTCTGAAGATCATGTGACACTGAAGACTGGAGAAATTATGCTGAAAATTCAGCTGCGCATCACAGAAATAAATTACATTTTAAAATATATTCACATAGAAAATTGTTATTTAAATTATAATAATATTTCACAATATTACTGATTTTACAGTTTTTTTTTATTAAATACATTCAGCCCCTAAATGAGCAAAAACTTTTGTAAGATTTAGTTGAGAGTGAGACCCAATGTTTCCAGGTAATAAAAAATGCAGCAGCTACCTAAATAAGTTGTAAATCACCATAAAAACAGGATGACAAAAGAGTTATGGCTTACCTGGAGAGATGGATAACTCAGCTGGTACTGTAAAACAGCTTCACATAGATTCCAGAATGAATATTCCGGCCACAGGACCGACTGGAACACTAGACAGGAATATGAGGTCTGTGGAGTATAAGATAATGCAGGAATATGAAAAACATTCATCATTTCAAAGCTGCAGGGGAATGTAAATATTAAGAGCAATATGAGCTTAATGCACAATGGACAAGTCAGATAGATATCCATAGGACCGGTGCCAGACTTTCAGCTGCCATTATTGTTGATTTGATGGGAAATCTCATTGGAAAAGGCAGTGATGGGAATTATTACAGCTCTTAAAGCAATAGTTCACCCAAAAATGAAAATTTGCTAAAAAAAAAAATGTACTCACCCTCAGGCCATCCAAGATGTAGATGAGTTAGATTTGGAGAAATGTAGCATTCCATCACTTGCTCATCAACGGATCCTCTGCAGTGAATGGGTGCCGTCAGAATGAGAGGCCAAACAGCTGATAAAAACATCACAATAATCCACACCACTCCAGTCCATCAGTTAACATCTGGAGAAGTGAAAAGCTACGTGTTTATAAGAAACAAATCTCTCATTTAAGGTGTTTAATCCATTGTTTCTAGCCAAACTATGAGTCCATTAAAGGGGTGGTTCATTGCGATTTCACTTTTTTAACGTTAGTTAGTGTGTAATGTTGTTGTTTGAGCATAAACAATATCTGCAAAGTTACGAAGCTGAAAGTTCAATGCAAGCGATAATCGTCTTTTAAAATTCTGTCAGTTTAATGCCTACAAAAATGGCTGGTAGGGACTACAACAAGTTACTTCCCAGGTTCGTGACATCACAAACCCAGATAAACCCCGCCCCTGGGAA